CACACACACACACACACACACACACACACACACACACATACACACACACACAGGCACACACACACACACATACACAGATACACACACACACTCCATGTAGGTAGAATGAACAGGAGGTCGAGAAAGACAATGAGCAGGGGAAGAAAGGGGAAAATTGGTTGAAGGAAAACGAGTTGGAGGGACAACATAAGGTAGCTTGTGAGGGCAAAGGAGGAACGCTAGCCGCAGGAGGCGCAAGAGAAGGAAACGTGAGAAAGATGGGAGGTTAGTGCATTTTATGGATTTTCACGGACTGTTGAATCTCAATAGCAACCATGATTTGTTGCTTCAAAGATAACGGTAGCATCACGATTCATGAAAAATGACGAGTGAACCAACATCAGTGTCGTGATGAGGAGGGAAGTGGTTCAATGTTGGTTACGTGGTGCTATATTTGGGTGTCATCTAGGACAATGATAGTGTGTGAAGAGTAAACATAGCCACGTTAGTTACGAGCGGTAAGAGGGGGAAAGGTGGGTATTCTATTTTTGCAATCAATGCAGTGGCAGTACAAAGACTATGAATAATCGGATTATAACTTATAGATCAGGCTGCATATGTGGCACTTTCTTTGCCTGACGGGCTGCAAAATTAAGGGATTGGATGTTGCCCCATGCTCTAGTGGCCTGTTGGGGCCCTGCTAACACAAAGTAGCTCCGCCTCACTTTTTATTTTCCCCCAGCCCCATCAAGTAACACCAGTATCTAAGGCCAACACTCTCTCGCATGCCACACAAAACCCACTCACAGACACACAGACACTTGCACCCATGTTGGCTAAAGACCCTACTAATACCGACCAGGGGGAGCAAGCCGACTATCTAAGTCGACTCTCTCTCTCTCTCTCTCTCTCTCTCTCTCTCTCTCTCTCCCTCTCTCTCTCTCCCTCTCTCTCTCTCTCTCTCTCACACACACACACACACATACACACACACACACGCATGCACACACACACACACASRCACACACACACTCATACACAGATACACAAATACACTCCATGTAGGTGGAACGATGAGGAGGTCGAGAGAGACAGTGAGTAGGGGAATAACGGGGAAAACTGGTATAAGGGAAACGAGTTAGAGGGACAACATAAGGTAGGTTGTGAGGGCAAAAGAGGAATGATAGCAGGAGGATACGCAAGAGAGAGAAACGTAAGAAATATGGGAGGTTCGTGCATTTTATGGATTTTCACGGACTGTTGAATCTCAATAGCAACCATGAGTTGTTGCTTCAAAGATAACGGTAACATTCTGATTCGTGAAAAATGACGAGTGAACCAACATCAGTGTCGTGATGAGGAGGAGGAAAGTGGTTCGATGTTGGATACGTGGTGCTATATCTGGGTGTCATTTAGGATAATGATAGTGTGTGAAGATTAATCATAGCCACGTTAGTTACGAGCGGTAAGAGGGGGAACGGTCGGTATTCTATTTTTGCAATCAATGCAGTGGCAGTACAAAGACTATGAATAATCGAATTATAACTTATAGATCAGACTGCATATGTGGCACTTTTTTGTCTGTCATATGAACAGAAAAAAATGAATTAAGAGATGCATATGTAGAGGTGGAGAAGGAGGAGGAGGAGGAGGAGGAGGAGGAGAAGGAGGGTGGAAAAAGCAAAAGGAAAAGAGAAGTAGGAAGAGGAGTAGGGTATGGATGTGCA